GTAAAGTTGATCCAGGGAATATCCGATTGCCTCTCTGGGGATGAGGAAGGATTTTTTTCCCAAGCGGGAGCAAATTGGATCGTGCTTTGCTGGGTTTTTTTTTTGCCTTCCTCTGGATCAACTGTGGGTATAGGATTACAACTTTTTTTTTTTCTATGGTTGAACTGGATGGACTTTTGTCTTTTTTCAGCCAGACTAACTATGTAACTATGTTATTGTTGAGTGGAGGTGTTGGAATACAGTGTTCATGTGTTTTGTGTGACAACTACATCAGGATTCAGTAGAGATATATTCTCCAACCAGTAGATGGCAGTGTTTATAGGTTTGTAGCTGCATCTATGGTGAAACTTTATGTCTTTTCTCTATAATAAAGCTCCTGTTTGCAGAGAAACAGCAGATAAACACATGTGTAATGTGTACTGTCTGTTCAGTAGGGCTATATACAGAATCTCTAACAGTTAAAACAAAAAACAGTGTGCAGTTCCCCCCCCCAATCCAACCCACCTCTTTCCCACACTGCTAGCAGGAATCAGACATGGAGCTCTTTGACTGCATAGGAATATCAGAAACTTGGCTAGACAGCTCACATGCTGCTAATATCAAGGGGTACACTCTGTTTTGGACGACAGAACTGGCAAAAAGGGATGGAGGGATACGTATGTATGTGAAGAGCAATCTGAAAAGGAATTTGAGAGATTATATTACTAACAAAAATTGTAATGGTGCAGAAGTGTTATGGCTGAAGCGCCATAAAAGTGCAACAAATAGTGAATAACTTGTTGGAGTATGTTATAGGCTCCCTAAAATACAAGATGAAGAAGAGTCCCAGCTCATTTCACAGACTGAAATGATTGGGAAGCAGAGGACTTTGATGGGTAATTTAAAATATCTTGATGTTGATTGGACAAATGGAACTGCACAACAAAGAGCACAAAGGACAAGTGTTTTAAAGATGCATTAAGTGCATTAGTCATTGGGGCTGATTTACTAAAGGTGGAGAGTACAAAGTCTGGTGCAGCTCTGCATAGAAACCAATCAGCTTCCACAAATTGTTGTCAAAGCTTAACTGAACAAGCCTAAATTAGAAGCTTATTAACTACCATGCACAACTGCACCAGATTTTGCACTTTCCAGTTTTAGTAAATCAACCTCATTGTGTTACATTGGGTAACAAACATAAAAGAAAAAATAACCTATGTGGTTAAATCCTAGTGTAATAAAAATGAGAAAAAAGTACAAAGTAGAAGGGACACACTCAGCATTCCATGTTTACTAGGAATACAATAGGAAACGCAAGGCAGCAATCAGGGCAGCTAAAACAGTATATGAGAAACAGTATAAGTAAAACCAATCATTTTTTTTCAATATATTAGTAGTAAAAAGGTTATAAAAGAACAGATAGGCTCCATAACAGAAGAACATGGGAAGTAGGTCACAAATGACAATGAGGAAGTAAGCAAAAACTTAGATAAAAGAGTGGCTGTGCATATAGTATACTTGAATTTTGCCAAAGCATCTGACACAATTCCATAGCTAGTGTGTAGGTTAAAATCTATAAGCTTAGAAAATTTGTAAGTGAATAGAAAACTGGCTAAATGACTATGTTCAGAGAGTAGTTATTAATGATTTATACTCTGAATGGTCTAAAGTTATTAGTGGTGTAACCCAAGGTTCAGTGTTTGTACCATTACTTTTTAACCTATTTTGAAATATTTTAGAATTTGGGATTAAAAATAAATTTCAGTGTTTGCTGATTATACCATACATTACAGCGGAAAAACATCCTTACAGGATGTCTCCAATTATAAACCAACCTAAAAGGGACACTAAATGAAAATTTGTATAAAATAAATGCAATATGTTTAAGTATAAGTGAAATGTACCTTCTAGCTCTCACTTCCTTTTTTCATCTCTCAAATGTATGTCTGCTTCTGCTATTCTCGTATATCTTTTTCTAGGATGACTATGTTTGTTCTCCATGCTCACAAAGAAAACTCCCCCAAGCTCTACTGTTCATCAGAGAAATGTGAGTGGGGAGCTGGTGCTCAGGCTAACCTTTCAATCCAGAATATGTAGCAAAATAGGCAACAACTCATTTCTTCATCAAAATGTATTTATTGGTACACAGTAGAAGATATAAAATCCATGAAACCTGATGCTTTTCAGCCACAGTCTTTCTCAAAACTTTGTTCTCCATGCCCCCCTGTGTATATGAATGTAGCTACCATCTCGTTCTTGACCCTTAGATGGACTACAGATCTATGTGCAAACACATTCAGCTCTCTGCGAATGCATAGAGTGAAACATATGATCAGCAATAATGACTCTACACTAGTAGCTTTAAGGTGCATCAGTAAAGGATAGGGAGCAAGCACAGGACAATAAAGATTTTTAAAGTTGATAAATGTAAAGTTATGCAAAAATACATCCTAGAAGGAGTGCAACTGGGAAAGCCAATGGTCGAGAAGAATCTGGGTGTTCTGGTAGATAATAGACTTAAAGAGTATGTAAACCCAACATTTCATATTTGCCTACTGTACCATGTACTTGTATGAAAAATTATCCTGTTCTCTTTGTATTGCTCCCATTGTGTGAAATTCCTGGTGTTCCTGCCAATCCCTCTGGTTTCCTGTTAAAAACTGACCACACTATCTATAAGAGAAGAGTGTTGTCAATTTTCTAGCTGTGCTGAGACTCAGCCTGCTCTCTTCCAATCATCAGAGTTGTCTTGACAAGACAAGCTCTTATGCAGCTGAGAACAGAGGGAATGTGATCACTTAAAAAAAGGGACGAAAAAAGGGATTTATAATATTTTTATATCTATTCACAACTTTTTTGCCTTCCATTTGTATTTTAAACTGAATAGGTTGTTTTATAAGAGTTTACAATCTCTTACAATAGCATAAAATGCCAAGATGCAGTTTCTAAAGCTAGAAAAATACTTTCTTGTAATAAAGGAGGTGTAGATGTGAGAGACAGAGAGGGGGAGTGAGAGAGAGAAAGAGGCATAATTTTTCCACTGTACAAAGCCTTAGTAAGAGCTCATTTCGCAAAAAGGATATCGGAGACCTGGAAGTGCAGAGAAGGGCAACCAAACAGATAAGAGACATAGAGGAGCTCAGTTATAGCTGAACTAAATGTTGTCTCTCTTAAAGTGGAGTTCTACTCAAAAGCGGAAGTTCTGCTTATTTGCCTCCCCCCCCCCCCCCCTCTACTGCCATGTCAAAACCAGGTACCCACTCCCACTTCCGGCTCAGTTCACAATGGCAAAGTGAGCTGAAAGTTTGGTCCCCTCCTCCCTCCCGCAGTCTCCTGGGAATTTTCACAGGTCCCAGAAGTCTGCTTGACCAATTAGGAGGTGCAGTGCGACTCACTTATGAAGAGTGGGCACCAGGCTGATTAAGCTGCAAACTCTCACAGCCTGGTGCCCACAGTTGAGATACCAGCGCCGTGGAGGAAAGAAGGGGGGAGAAGGTATCACACGGGTGAGAACATCACTGGACTCTGGAACAGATAAGTGTGTGTTTATTAAAAGTCAGCAGCTACAGTTTTTGTAGCTGCTGACTTTTAATAAACACAAAAACAGCTGGAACTCTTTAAGAAGAGGTGGTTAAGAGGGGGTACAATCACCATGTGTAAATACATACAGTAAGTGATTCATATAGTCCTCACAAAGGACAAGGGGGCACTTCTTACATCTGGAGAAAAAAAGATTTAAATTCTAGATATGGAAAGACTTCTTCATAGTAAGGACTGTAAAATGTGGAATAGGCTACTTCAAAAACTGGTTCTGGCCAAATCAGTACATTGTTTATAAATGTTGGATGCAGTACTAAACGAACAAGACATAACTGGACAGTAAAATGTATAGGCAATAACATCAGGAATTGCTGACTGAGGAAATATCTCATTGCTTTCTGTGAGATCAGGAAGGAATGTATTTTTTCCTTGCTGGAGCAAATTGCACCATGCTTTACATAGGGATCTTTATTTTATCTTCCTTTGAGTATAGGATTTTGTATATAGGGGGTTTGTATTTTTTTTTTACAGGTTCTTATATAGCCCTGTTAATGTATGCAGCACTTTACATATTTATTATGCATTCACATCAGTCCCTGGCCTCAAGGAGCTTACAATCTCAGGTCCCTAACTCATATTAATGCATACACATACTAGGGCCAGCTTTGACAGGAGCCAATTAACCTATCAGCAAGTCTTTGGAGTGTGGGAGGAAACCGGAGTATCCAGAAGAAACCCACGTAGGTATATTAAGAACATACATACTCTGTCCAGGTAGTGTCAAGCCAGAGATTCAAACTCAAACTGACGACCCCAGTTCTGCTATTCAGAATTGCTAACCACTTAGGCACTCTATATAGTTAAATAAATATATTTATCCCTTTACAAAACACTGGCTCTGCCTAATCTTGAATATGCAATTTGGTTTTGTTCACCAATGCTCAGGAAGACGATCAGTGAAAGGCAACAAAATGAATAAGGGAAACAGGACTTCAGCTATGAGGATTGCATACCTTGATTACAGTTATTCACTCTAGAGAAGCGGTACTTAAAAGGAGATATGATCGCAATGCACAAATATATCAAAGGGGACTCCAGTAACTGTAATAAACAGTTTACTTCTTGAAGAGGATACGCATCCAATATTTGAGGTTAGAAATAAGATGTTTAACCACTAGCCTACCGGGCACTTCTACCCCCTTCCTGCCCAGGCCAATTTCCAGCTTTCAGCGCTGTCACACTTTGAATGACAATTGCGCGGTCATGCAACATTGTACCCATATGAAATGTTTATCATTTTTTTGAGACAGATAGAGCTTTCTTTTGGTGGTATTTAATCACCTCTGGGATTTTTATGTTTTCTTAAACAAACCAAAAACCACAATTTTGTAAATAAGTGATTTTTCTCCTTCACTGATGTGCGCTAATGAGGCTGCAGTGATGGGCACTGATAGGCTTCACTGATGGACACTGATAGGTGGCACTGATGAGGAGGCACTGGTAGGTGCCACTGATGGGCATTGACAGGCATCACTGATGGGCACTGAAAGGCAGCACTGATACATGACACTGATATATGGCACTGATAGGCAGCACTGACTGGCACTGTTAGGCGGCACTGGCCGGCACTGTTAGGCGGCACTGACTAGCACTGATAGGTGGCACTGACTGGCACTGATAGGCGGCACTGACTGGCACTGATAGGCGACACAGACTGGCACTGATAGGTGGCACTGATTGGCAGCACTGATAGGTGGCACTGATTGGCATTGATAGGTGGCACTGACTGGCACTGATGGGTGACATTGAAAGGCAGCTCAGATGGGAAATGATATGTGGCATTGATGTGCACTGGTATGCACTGATATGTGGCATTGATATGGCACTGATGGGCACTGGCACGTGGCACTGATGAGCACTGACAGGTGGCACTTCTGGGGCCACACTGATCATCAGGGCACACTGATCATCAGTGCCCTGATGATCAGTGTACCTGTCCCCTCCGCGGAAAGCCAATTACCGGCTCTCTTCTCCTCTCAAGCTGTCAGCGTGACAGCTCGAGAGGAGAGAAATGCCGATAACCGGCATTTCCGTGTTTACATGTGATCAGCTGTGATTGGACACAGCTGATCACATGACCAAGCCGACATCTTTGGCTCTTTCCATGATCCGCTGTGTCCCTGGGCCGCGCATGTGCAGTGAGAAATGTAGGACGTCATATGACGTCCTATCAGAACAAGAGAACAACCTTGCACCCGTCATTGTACTATAGGGCGGGTGGAAGGTGGTTAATCTTAGAATACAGAAAGGGTTCTTTACTGTTGGAGCAGGAACTGGTACTAGCTTTAGATGTCTTCCTCGTGAATCAGTCTATACAGGGCTATGGGAATTGTTAGAGAATACAAATCACACACTTACCAACAGACAAACTATGTAACAAATGTTTGCATATATAATTATTTCTGCTCTGTATTTTATTATTATCTATAATTCTGCATTAAATAAGTTTTAAAGGTCATATCAGCATCTATTGCATTGTATTACAGTTGTCATTCCTGTTACACCTGTTAATCTAACACTGCACTAGTCACATTCAAAGTAAAAACTTCAAAATAATTAAGTCATTTTAAGTATAGAATGAAGATAAGCAAAGATAAAGAATATTGCCATGCAATTTCCAAAGGTGTTTCCCTTTGCAAAGATAGTGCAATCTTGTACTTATAGAGTAATTATCTTTTTTCTTCTGCTAAAAGACCACTTTGATAGGTGGAAACAAAGAGATGCTTATCTTTGAAAAAGAAAGTAAATATCTAAATAGGGTAACATCCTGGTTTACTAAGCAGACTAGCACAAGGTTCACTGAAATTCCTGTCCCTAAAGAAATAAACACACTTGCAAATAACTTAGTTTGGGGTTTCTTCAGTACATTTCTATTTGTTGTAATGTAGTTTCAAAAAGCTTTTGTCCTGAGACTGGGTCACATCTAGATCTAATCTTTAAAAAAGATCATACCTACCTTCTGTGTCTATGGAAGCTTACATTACAAAGATCAAAGCACAACAGTAGATTGTATGTGTGTGCACATGTGAGTGTCATGGTTTCCAACATTTGTAAATAGCATGGACATCTTGAAGGGTCCTGGAAGGAAAATGTAAAGTGTGACGTTTGCCTTCTGATGAACATATGGGGCTGTTGGCAAAATATGACTTGTATCATCACATCTTTTTTTCTTATACTTTAGTATGTTTTAGATAAAATAGGGCCTAGGGGTACACTGAAGAGAAAGGGATAGTAAAATTGTTGGTGTCTGTGTTATAAAATAAACCCTACATATTATTGAGAGTAAAATACACCTCATCTTTGGTATGAGTGGAAGGAAAATAAATCCTATATTGTTACAGTGGTGTGCAGTGAGTAAAATAATCCCCATTATTTGTGACAGAGGGGATAAAATAAATTCAGTACTATAGATGACAGTGGGAATAAAATAATCCCCACATCACTTGTGCCAGTATAAGTAAAATAAACCACATATCACTGGTGTCAGCAGAAGTAAAAACAGATGCTATTGTTATTGAAGTCAATGGGTATAAAATATGCTGCACATTATGTGAATCATTTGTGTCAGAGGGAGCAAATAAACTGCAAATGCATGGTGTCAGTGGGAGCAAAATAAACCCCAAAACATAGGTGTCAGTGGGAACAAAACACAACCCTAATTGATCATGTCTGTGGAAGCAAAATAAAGCCCCAATTGATGGTGTTAGTGAGACCAAAGTCAACCCCAAAATGTTGGTGTCAGTGGGAGCAAAAATAGGTACTGGTGTTTTGAACACACATTCTATTCTGCTGCTCTGCCTCTGCTGATTGGAACCTCATGCTCTGGACTGAAAGACATGACTGGGGTATTGCCTATGTCCCGGCTGCTATGAAACCACCCAATTCTAATACCCCCACACCGACCGTCAATATAATAATAAAGCACACTAACACTTTTATTTTTGCATTTTAATGGCCATAGCAGCCAGTTTATTTAATGTTATATATAACAAAAATGCATACTTATTTAGCATCATATATAAAACCATAACAAAATACCGTAACTGATAGGTCTTAGGTTTATGAAGGCACAGAAGAACTAATAACCAGCTGTATCTGCCACCAGCTTCCAAATTAAGGCCCCCAGCACCACGTACACAGACTTGGAGACAACTTCTTACTAAGTTACCATCGGATGCAGCCCACAAATCAAATCGTAACCCATTCCTGCTGCACTTAGTAGGGGAGGTACACCCAGACCTAAGACGGGCCCAACCCTTTTTCTCCCAAACTGTTTTTACCATCCCCTCGCTCAAAAACCTTGATACCTCTGCCCACTGCTATGACAATACAAAAAACCGCATCTCAAAACGCCCACTGTCAACGAACCCGAACAACACAAGAACGCAGGTACCCAAAGCCCACACAAGCTGGAAACAACAGATCGGTAACGACTGCCCAAAATCCAGGAAGGGAGGGTGGGCAGGAGAAGCCCGTCCTACGCTGCCCCTGCTAAGGGCTCATGTACACTGCAGCTGCTAAACTGACGTTCAGGAGCTGTTCAGCATTTTTTTCAGCAGCCCCTGAACTCTCCCTGATATTTTCCTATGTGTCCATGTACACATAGTCGTTTACAGGCAGTTGAGTTTACAGTTGTTTTTTTGAATGCATCAAACTTGCATTCAGGTGTAGATTCAAAATGCCAAATGCTTGTAAACGCAGTTAAACGCGTTTATAAGCATTTGTGTTTAGAAGCGTTTTCTAACTGTTCCATACCCAGATGCTGGCCATAGTCTTTTTTCATCATCAGAAATGCATGCAAAGCATTTTCCATGTATTCAAATAGACCTAGTACACCAGCGCAGTCAGTTCCAGATTTCGCGTGAAGGAAAAAATGGTAGAACGTGCTGCATTATGCTCATGATGGGATCCATAGTGAATACAACCAGAAAAGATAGGTAATCTCAACACATACTGCTCTCTCTGCTTCTGCTCTCTCTATTTCTCCCAAAATGTCTAAAATAGTTAATTATTTACTATTTTTCAGTGCATTCTGGGCATTTGGGATGGTCTCCTGAGGTTATCTTTTAAAACCACTTCTAAAACGCAAACGCTTCTAAACACGCATAAACGTGCATAAACGCAGTATGCAAACGCGGCTAAACTGACGTTTTTTAACCTACGTTTTCCATCAGTCAGTTTCCATCATTCAGAAGAGTTTTCCAAACGCCCCGTGTACATGAGCCCTAAGAATTGTAATTCAAGAAAGACCACCTTCCACAAAAACCCATCTCCACCCTGCTTAACCCCTCCCTACCACACCCCACCATCCTCCAGCTTTTAAACACGGCACTATTTAACCCTCTCTCTTCCACAGTCTGTTTCTGTAAACCCAATCATGTAGGCCTTTTACTAATGCTAAGTATAAGTTCCCGGCCTGATGCTGGAGACCACTCCATCCAACTGTCAATGCCAGCATAACTGCAATAACGAGTTCTAGATTGCAGAGCATTCCAGCATTCAGAACACCTCTGCCACACTGCACGGTGTCCTGGATCCTGTAGAGCAGCCTGCAGGATGCAGACACTGTGGAGCAAGGTACAAAATACCAGGACTGTCTTGCAAAATATAGAACATCTAGATCTGGGGGCTAATAGACCCCAGATGTCTCAGTAAAGAGTAAGGCCCATGCTATCACATTGTTAATCCCTTGTGACAGCAATAAAAGTTATTTAAAAAATTAGAGAGATGGTGAATTTTTTTTTTAAACAACATTAAAAAACTTAGAGTCCCTGTCCCCCTGTGCTAGTACTTAAAGGTTCATGTGTACAATTCCAATGCACACATTCCTGCGTTACAAATGGCTGTGTGTATAAGTGGGTGCTGCAGTGACCGTCGGCTGGAACCGAACAGAATCATCAAGGGAGAATGTCACCAGCACACTGAGGATCACCAATATAGGTCTAAAAGTTTTAATGAACGATCACATAGTTACAGCAAAGTAACTTTTCAGAATCTCGCAGGACCCCTTCATCAGGTCCTGCAAGATTCTGAAACGTTGCCTTGCTGTAACTATGTGATCGTTCATTAAAAATTTTGGACTCATATTGGCGCGCCTCTGTGTTCTGGTGACATTCTCCCTTGTGCACTCAAAGGTGAGCTCATACGTCAGTCACGCACTTCTATGTAAACTATATTCACACCACACATGTGAGGTATTGTCACGGACATTATAGTGAGAGCAATAATTCTACCACCAGACCTCCTGTGTAACTTTAAACTGGTAACCTGTAAAGGCTTTTAAAGCATCTCCTATGGAGATTTTCTTGTACTGTGGTTTGTCGCCATTCCAGGAGCATACTCAGTTTTAAAGCATGACATGCTAGGTATTTATTTACTCAGCATAAAAGTATCTGTTATATTTTACCAAGCTATTGGTAATTATATTGTGTTTTTGTGCATTAAAGTTCATTAAAGTGTATCTTTCAATTTTAAAAAATGTGTATGAAACACCACTGGGCAAAATACCGTGTGACATAAAAATTGAAACACTCACCATTTCTCTAGAGCCTCTGATTAAAAAATCTATAATGTTTGGGAGCTCTAAGAAATTTTCAAGCAAAAAAAATGTTTAAATGCATGACAGAAATGTCAAAATTGGCCTGGGGGTTAAGTAGTTTAATAATGACATTAGCCAGTGTATTCCAATAGACAACAAATATAAAAAAAACAAGGTTAAACCTTGGTGGCTACATTACATCATAAAAAGACATATTGAAGCGAAAAAAAATCTGTCCTTTAAAAATATAAGTCGGAGGGGTCATCCTTGGAATTCCATCACTACAAAGATCACAATAAGATATGTAAGAGCACAATCAGAACAGCAAAAATAGGCCACAAGAGATACATAGCAGAGGAAAGTATAATAAAACCCCAAATATTTTTAAAATATGTTATTAGTAAAGAGTTGAGGTCAGAGCATATTATCCCCATAAAGGATAATCACAGGAAGTTGGTTACAAGTGACCAGGAGAAGGCAAATTTATTAAATACATTATTCTCTTCAATTTTACAAAGGAAAAGAAGAAGCGTAATAAACAAGACAGTATTGTTAGTAACACAACACAGAATGTACCCTTGTGGCTAACAGAAGCCAGTATTTAACCTCCCTGGCGGTATTCCCGAGTGTAGCTTGGGGTAAAGTTTCAGTACCACAAGCGGTAACTCCGAGCTACGCTCGGGCTTACCATGCAGCGCTGCTCCGGTATCTGTTCTTCTCTTACCTTGTCTTGCGCTCCTGCGATGTCCCTCCTGCAGTGTCCCCTGTAATGTCCTCCGGCGGATGCCAGCATCTGTCTTCTGGGTTCCATCCCCTGCGACGTCGGGACGTATGGGGACGGAACGGCGGGAAATTTGAAAATGACAAAAAGTGACATTCACTAAATACACTAAAATCAGATAGTAAACCATTACTGTATCAAAGTATTCACATACATTTTGTCCCTAGTGCTTTGTCCTGTGCCCTTCCTGCATTTTTACTGTTCTTTCTGCCTAGAAACTGAGAAACGTCCATGGCGTCCAAAAAGCGTCCCTTTAGGTCAAAATCGGTTTTAGACCAGCTACAGAACAGCGATAGTAAATTAGAACTGAGTGATAACGATTCATTGGGAAATTCGTCATCAGACGTTTCAGTGTTTTTGGTTTGATTATATCATTGAATTAAATGTATTATTATATTATTATTTTTATGATTATTTATTAAATTATAATTTATGATTACGTGTTTCAAATTTTAACATACCCGGGATGTTTACTAAACTCTTGTTCGGACAAATTTCAGTGAGTTATTCCTAAAAATTACAGGCCTACAATAAAAAAAATACATATTTCAATGCAAAAACATTTACCGCTTTGAGCACAGAAATATGGACATAATCAGACTGCTAGGAAGGTTAAAAAAGACTTGAAAAACTTTAATAAATCACCAGGACCAGATGACTTACACCTGAGAGTCCTCAAAGAAAGCTGTGTTATAGCCAGACTGTCATTCCTAGTCTTAAAGGACAGCTTAATGACTGGAATGATACAATCTGATTGCCAAAAAGGTAACATGGTGCCAATATTCAGAAAGGGGCCAAGATGAATACCTGAAAACTACAGACCAGTCAGCATATCATTAGTATAGAAATTATTTGTGTGGATGATAAGGGACCATATCCCCAAAATTTGCTGACAAAGAATATCATTAGTAGTAAACAGCATAGATTTATGAAAGACCATTCTTGCCAGACCAACTTGTTAACATTCTATGAGGAAGCGAGCTGTATTTTGGATAGAAGAAGGCCTGGGGATGTAGTTTACCTATACCTATACCAAACCATTCAATATGGCACCCCACAAAAGCTTAATTTACAATAGTGTGTGTGACTGGATAGAAAACTGTGTACAGGAGTGTGTCCAGAAGGTGGTGATAAATAGTGTATCTTCTAAATGGTCTGAATTTGTAAGTGGGGTACCCCAAAGCTCTGTCGTAGAGCCAATTCTGTTTAATTTGTTCATAATTGATATATAGGTTGGAGTAAATAGTTTGGTCTCAGTGTTTGCTGATGATCCAAAGCTAGGCAGGGTAATAACTTAATAAACAGGATATTGCAACTTTACAGCAAGACCTTAAAAAAAGAGAATTGGGCAATTACATGGAAAATGAGGTTTAATATGGACAAATAATAAGTAATGCACCTGAGGGCTAAAAATATGAATGCAAGTTACTTGGTAGGAGGAGAACCTCTGGGAGAATCAAGGTTGGAAAAGGATCTGGGGGTTCACAGGTTCAGCAGTAGCACACAATGCCAAACTGCAGCAAACAAAGCTAGCAGACTATTAGCATGCATTTACTCAAGGAATAAGAGTATAATTATACCATTTTACAAAACATTCTGCTTCATCTTGAGTATGCACCCAGTTCTGGTCATCAGTCCTTAGGATGGATGGCTGGAATTGGAGAGAGCCCAGAGAAGGGCAGCAAAGCTCATAAGGGGACTGGAGGATCTCATTTATGAGGAACTACTATGAACTTTCATGCTGCCGAGGGAAGAGACGCTTAAGAAGCGATATTATCACAATATACAAATATCTAAATGGTGATTATAGCATAGGGGGAAACAAATTAGTCTAAATTTTGCTTAAGAAGACACGTGGCCACATGAAATTAGATCATAAACCTTAAACTGGGTATGTGGTATCAGCATGTACGGTTAATGTAAAAAAAATTTAAGATGGACATCTTAGTAAATTAAGTATTCAAACGACCCTCTTCATAGCTCAGAATATTTTTTTGTTAACAGTAGTTTTAATCTGCATATCATAGATTCTGGTCATTCAGAAACAAGCCCTACTCCTTTCCCACTTTTTGAGAGCCTAAATAAACAGTAAGAAATTAAAACACCTTTTATTAAAATTTGATGTTACAAGTAATGAAACAATTAGAATCATGTTTATAGCTTTGTTTTTAGCTTTAGAACATCTAATCATGTGTGATGAAGCATGTTGGGAAGGGGCATTTGAAAAATTTGTACCAAGCCAGAATCCAACCCTATAGATTACAACAGTGATCCTCTAGTGTGGTGTTCATCTTATATTCTCATTTATTTAACAGCATAAAATATACTTAAATAATGCAGTTAGGGCACATTTGCATTTTTTTTAGATGGGATTTCATTTTAAGATTTTCACCTTGACTCAGTAAAGTAATCGATATGGGTGCATTAAGATTAGCAAGATGTTGTATCTGGCAGTCCTAGACATATCATTGTGTGAACTACAATACAATCCTGTCAAACATTGTAATGATCTGTTTTAAATACTACTATACTGTATAATAAAGTTGGAGAATATTTTACATAATTACATTTTGTACGTGCCATCTGTGCCTGAAATGCTCTATAATCCTTAATCTGTAAAAACAGAAGATAGCTTTACTTTGAATGAACACACCCATCCACCAAGTTTTCACATCAGTAGGAAAAATAATGTATTCATGAATTGCAAACATTATCATAAATACAACAGAATAGTTAAGCAATTCAATGCAGACAGGCCCTGAAGCACTATATGAATACAAAAAAAACATGCTGCTAAAGGTGCAACTTATTTTTAAGAAGTTCTCCTTATAATACAGTTATTTCAATTTTTCATTGTTAATTGTCAATCACACTCAATTTACAGTGGTTACACCCAAAATCTTACACGTTCACATGTAATGAGTACATTATTCTTTATTTTATTATTTTATAGAAATGTAAAAGAATCAAGTTTAAACAAGTCTTTTCTTCCTGTCCATTACAGTCTTCTGATCTGCCTAGATTAGTATATACAAAATTGAGATAGTCATACACAAAAAGACAACTAATACACAGGCAGAGTTCCAGACTAGAAGTATAGCCTACTTGGGGCAAAAGTCAGATAAGGACAACAAAAAGTGCATTGTATTGCTTATCTAAACAAAGTATGTGCTGAAAAATGCCAAAAAATTCTACTGAAAAAACAAATGTTATGGCTAACAAAAGCTTTTGAACTACATCATTCAATTTTCTATGGGTAGAAAGAGTAAATAAGGCCTAACTTCTGCGGTTGAATCAAAAATCCAAAAATGGTTGCTTAAAGTACAGTATGAATATTCTCCATGACCTTTCCTACTGAAATATGTGCTAGAGACACTAAACCTTACCATGTAGACGCTATTACAAAGCCTCCTGTTATGTACCTTCCATCTTGTATCAAAGCATGTACAATATTGTCATTATCAAGGAAATGTGAGAACATCTGTAAAACAAGCAAAATGCCTATGTCAATATATCAGCTAGACAGATTATAGGTAATGTAATGAGAATATAAAAAATATACTTTATGTAATATTACATAATATGCAAATAAATATATTTTGAGTAAAAAAAAAAAACTCTCCTTGCTGCTAGCCATTTTTTTTTTTCATTTTGGTTGCACTGCCTGTGGCATACGCACAGTTCTGTGTAACCCTCAGCTCACTCCTGACATACTGTATGCCAATTATTGGGAATGAAGCCATGTGCTAGAAGTATGTAAGTGTGCAAGTGCAAAAGTTACATAATAATCAGTGTCCGCCTAATTACAAAAGGGAAGAGTGCTGAACTCAAGACAAGCACTGGAAAAAAAAAGCCAGCAGAGGACAGAGACGACAGAGTGTAGAATCCCAATGCTGGAGGAGATCACATTATTAGATAAGTGTGTGTCAAAATATGCAAGTGTACTGTGTATAATTTGCAAATTATTGAAAGAGCTATCCAGCTGGCATAGAGTTCCACTTTGGGGTCAAATATAAGAATAACTTGTACTTATTCTTTTTTTTTTTTTTTTTTTAAACTTTTCAGTTTACTGCCAAGTGAACTGTGTTTCCAGCTAGTATAAGGCTGATGGACCCTGTGTAGAAAAACAAATACACTTTTAACAGTTAAAACAATTATTACCAGTGTCTACCTCTGGTATGATGTTGCTCTATTTAACCACTTCAGCCCTGGAAGGTTTTCTCCCCTTCCAGCATCAGACCGGAAACTTATGCGCAGGGGCGGACTGACCATTTGGAAACTCGGGCACTGCCCGAGGGCCCAGGGTCAGTAGGGGGCCCATGAGATGCCCCTGGTACCTTTTTCATAGGCTTTTTTGAGTTTGGGCAAGGACACAGGGGCCCCATTATCCCCTATTGCCCGGGGGCCCCATGAGTTGTCAGTCCGCCCCTGCTTATGAACAGCATTAGTAAAAGGCCCACATGACTGGGTTTGCTGAAGCAGGACACTCTTTAACCCTCGTTAAAGAGTGTCCTATTTAAAAGAAGACAGCCTTACCTTATTGGAGGATGATGGGGTGTGGTAGGGAGGGGTTCAGCAGAATGGAGAGGGGTTTTGTGGGAGGTGGTCTTTCTTGCATTATCCTGCTGGCAGGAAAGCATGGGGGGCAGTGCTGAAGAGAGGTGGCAATTCAAGGCATCAAACTACAAATGCCCTGCTGGAGGCTACCCTCTTCACATATTGGAGGTAACTTTTCAGGTCAATGGCAATGGAGAGGCTATCTGCAAGCTCATTCTTGCAACATCTGTACTGAAACTATAAGCGTACTATGTAGTACTGCCCACAGACCTGGAAGTTTGCACCTGTATTTTTATTCAAGGAAAGTACCCAAAGATTCTGTTTCCACTCTGTTATGGTCCACAGGATCTCAGAGACCCCTTTGCACCTGCATGGGCTGCATAGCTGATATGTCCACAACTGTATTCTATACTCAAATATTTGCTTTTTTCGGATTTCTAGTAAAAGTTATAACACATCAAGGAAACTTGTGCTGAAATATAATGCAAGTATGTATGACACTCACCGTTTGTACTTCTTCCAGGCCAGTGATCCAAAAAATATAAAATCAGATTGACAACCAGCAACTAGCATTTTCAGATGTAGAAGTCAGCAGTGGA